TCTCTCTCTCTCTCTCTCTGTCTCTCTCTCTCTCTCTCTCTTTGTGTCTTGTGGCTACGTCTATAGCTGCTCCTCCGTTAGCCGATTTTATTTTATTTTTCTAACCATAGCCGAATTTACCTTTCCTTTTTCGGATAGAATACAGGCCAGTGAATTGGATCGAGGAAAATTTTAATTAAAAATAATTTGAATCAAATTAGACAAAACAAAAGAGCGAGTGTAAACTGGATAACGTTGTCAAAAATAGGGAGGGAAGCGGACGATAGTTTCGAATTTCCGTTGCGAAGGGTCAGAAGGGTCAGTACAAGTGAGGGGAAGCAGTCGACCCCTACGCACCCTCATCCTGAATGTATACAAGCCGAGCCCGATACGGACATAACGAGGTTGCGTTGTGTTCGGGGGAAGACGGTACTACTTGTCTTCACAGGAAGGTGCGTAGTTGCGGCAAAGCCCGCGACCTGAACGTATACAAGCCATCTTTCCAGCCCGATGCAGTCATAACGAGGTTACGTTGTGTTCGGCGGAAGACGCTAGTACTTTCCCTTCCGAGATTCCGAGGGAGATGCGCGCAAGTACGGCAAAAGCCCACCAGCGCCGGCTGAAGCCGCTGAACTGATCACTGTAATATATTATTTAATGGTCGACGACTTAGTCTAGCAGTTGCGCTCGACTTCGAAGGTTTGATCTTTCGATCTCACTCTCTGTCTTGCGTCTATTCTCCTCACCCACTCTTACAATAATTTTTTAATTCACAAATCTCACTTCAATGACTTCATGCATGTGTTTTACCGATTGGCTTTGTCCATCCGACTCCATCGTTTATGCTGTTAATGGCCTGTTAATATCATTCATCTCATCTGACTAGCTAGCAGTTGGAACAGGAGGTGTAATCGGGAGGAGGACGTGGCACCATCGAAGGGAGGAGGAGGAGGTTTCTTCACCGTGACAGCGAAAGAGAATTCCCATAGAGCGGCACGGTTGGGGGGGGGGGGGGAAGAAAGCAGCGCGCGGGAAAAAAGCAGTAGCACTGTAGCAGCCTGATGATTGGATTGGACCGCGGTGGAGAATTCTCGGCAGGTTATAAACTTATATAATTATCTAAATTTGGATTTTTTTTTAACTGAGCTAATTTCCGGCGGTTGAAATTGAACTCTGACATGAAATTGGGAATGAAATCGGGAATGAAATCGAGAATGAAATCGAAAATCGGAAGCGGGATTGATATAAATGATGCGAATTAAACTGTCGAATGTGAATTCTCGTATGTGGATTGAAGTTGAGAGATTGAAATTGGGTATGAAATTTGGGGGATAGAAATTGGGTCCGAAATTTTGGGATTGAAAACTGGGGGTTGAAATTTTGGGATTGAAATTTTGGGGTTCGATTTGAGTCGGGTTGGGGTTTTGATGTGCCTGGATTTCTAGCTGAATCTTTCAAGACGTAGAAAAATAATAATAATAATAATAAAATATCGCTGAATAGGAGTGCCTTGAATTGTTGGAGGGGGGTTCTCCAATTCAAGCTGACGTACGTGTGCTCTCCATTTAACAAACCTGACTCACTTCAGCTGAAGTTTGTGAAGCCGATTGAATTTTTTGGATGATTCTCAAGGAAATCGACAGGTAACCCTGTTCTCTTCACTGCAGTGAATGGAAATAGTACGTTGAATACTTGAGCTTTTAACTTGATTTGAGTTGAATTGAGTTGAGTTGAGTTGAGTTTAATTAAGTTGAAATTAAATTAAAATGGAAATGGAAATGGAAAAGAATCAAAGATGAAATTAGAATTCGAATCGATTTGAATTGGGTCCATAATGGATAAAATTGAATTGAATTGAGTTTGAATTGAATGGAGTTCGAATTGAATTGAGTTTAAATTGAATTGAGTTCGAATTGAATTGAGTTTGAATTGACTTGAATTTGAATTGACTTGAATTTGAAATTGGAAATTGGAAATTGGAATTGAATTGAACTGAAGTGAACTTAGTGAATTGAATTGAATTGAATTGAATTGAATTAGGTTGACAATGGGTTGGGATAAGACCAGGATAGGGAAGGGACTGGACTGGGATGGGATTGGCATACGAGGGGATTGAAATGCTTTCAATTGTAATTGGAAATTGGAAGTTAAAAGGCAATTCATTTCAATTCAATTCTAGCGAGTTGAATTGGTTTGTTAACGGATTGGGATAAGCTGGGGATAGGATTGGAATGGGATTGGAATGGGATTGAAATTGGGATTGGGATTGGGATTGGGATTGAGATTGGGATTGGGATTGGGATTGGGATTGGATGGGCTTTTCACGAAAAGGAGCTCAATTGATCGAATTGAGCAAATACCTAAGGGTGAGAAGAAGAGATTCAAGAGAGGAATCGATTTCACAAAGGCGCGAAGAGGTGTTTGATGAGACGAAGAAGGCGTGTTTGAGTGAATGGCAACTCACAAGGGATACTGATGTAAGGCTTGCAACGCCTCAGCTAGAGAAGGTTGCTGATGATCGCTTTCCGTATTATCCGCCGACGGGCCCGGCCCCTGCAGGGCGCGCTGTCCGTGCTGCCCCGCGCCTTGCCTACTCCCATCGGACATACCGACAGTCTTTAATTGGTTCTTGATTCACCCTGCCCAATTGCCCAAAAAGCTTGTGACCACTGCACTTTCTCGCGCCCCAATTTTATGACTTCAACAATAATTTCGAACCGCGAAACTTCGCGTGCTCACTCCTCCCCTGCTGCCGTCGTTTTCCCAACTTCCCAGCTTTGCCAATCACTCTCTCTCTCTCTCTCTCTCTCTCTCTCTCTCTCTCTCTCTCTCTNCTCTCTCTCTCTCTCTCTCTCTCTCTCTCTCTCTCTCTCGCCCCTGCCGCGTTTGCTCACTTACTAGCTGCGAGCCTTTGTCACCTTCTCCCCGTCAATCGACCTCTCTCTCTCTCTCTCTCTCTCTCTCTCTCAAGGCTACTTGGGAGAGAAGAGGAGGAGAGGAGAGGAGAGGAGAGCAGAGGAGTGGAAAGAAGAGTGATCGTGATCTGCGAGTTGGCTGCTGCAAGCTGCCTTTGCCTTTGCCTTTCGCTTCGTTAAAAGCTTTTATTGACGCCGCCGCCCGCAGCCGAATATCCCGAATTCTCGCGGCTGCCTGACCCGGCCGACTGCAAAGAAAAGCGCTGCGCTGTGCTGTGCTCTTCTCTTTACTGCGGATTAAAGGACGGATCCTGCACAATTGCCGAACGGATCTTCCGATCACGTCTTGGTCGTCAGGATCGCCGCGGTTCGCCAGGATGAAGACGTCAGGCTGACCTCTAGAGTAGTGACGCTATTCTGCTCCCCGCTCCTGTACACTCCCCACTCCTCTTTTCCCCTCCTCCTCCTCCTCCTCCTCCTTGTGCCTTTCTGGGTGTCCTTTCTCCTTGTCGTTCTCTCTCCCCTCTCGCCGCCTCACCCTTCCCCCAAGTTCCCCGTGCGCGCTAAGGGTTGCCGAAAACGGATTCCCAATGGCCCTCTTCGAACATAAGGCCTCCCTCTTCGAACATATTAAGGCCTCCCTCTTGGAACATAAGCCTTACTAGGAGGCCTTATGTTCCCGAAAGTCCCGTTCAAATCTGAGGGGTGCTTCACCAAATTTTCCTTCCAATTCGAGGTCCTTTTCCAAGTTTGGCTCGAATTTGAAGGTGCTTCCTCAAGCTTGGCTCCAAATTGCACAAATTTGGAGGTGCTTCCTCAAATTTGGCTCAAAATCCGCCAAATTTGGAGGTGCTTCTCTCCAAATTTCGCTCAAAATTCGTCAAATTTGGAGGTGCTTCTCTCCAAGTTTCGAGTTCTCGAAATTGCCGCGGCCGCCGAACCAGCGGATGCGTTGGTGTCTAGGCTCTCAGTGATTCAACCTTTCGACCTGTCAGCCGTTCAACGTCCTCGTGTGCCTGAATCAGATGCGTGGAAAAAGGTCTGGCTCCGAGGAGACAGTACAGTATATATATCAAGAGAAAAGAAGAAGAGAAAGATTCTGAAGAAGAACCGAAAGAAGAAAAGGAAGAAGAAGAAGAAGAAGAAGAAGAAGGAGGTAGAAATTAGAGCAATTGGGAGAAGAAAAAGATGGTAGATACACACCGGTAGGAGACAGAACTGCTCGCAGAAAATTGGGAGAGAAGGATGAGTTGGAACAAGCCGGCGATGGACAACAAGAAGAGATGTGAGAACACTGTTGCGTGCTCGCGCAAGAGTCCCAAGACCACACAATATGGGCAAGAAAGAGGGACTCGAGGAGGAGGCGGAGGACGAGAGGATCGATAAAATTGGTAAAGATGATTGGGATGACGACTACGCCGATCGTGAAGACAACAACGACGTGAGGAGTAATCGGAGAAAAGCAGTACGACGAGGAGGAATCGGAGAAGCAGTACGAGGAGGAGGAGGAGGGGTGCAGAGGCCAGTGACGATTCCGAGGATGATGAGGATAATTCCTGTGCGTGTGATTGCGTGTGATTGCGTGTGATTGCGTGTGATTGCGTGTGATTGCGTGTGATTGCGTGGCGTGCCGCCGGGAAAAGGAAAAAAAAAACAAGGCTTGCGTCTAGCCTTTCTACCACTCTTAGGTCCAGACCGTCCAGCCCAACGACCAGCAATCATCAATTCCCCACCATCCTCTTCACCGAACCATTAGCGGTCATCTTCTCCGTCTCCGATGGGCTGGAAAGAATTTTCAGCTGGAAAGTTATCGCGACGCTCGAAGCGGGCAAGCTCCCAACTCGAGCCCCTGACTGCACGGGTCTGAATACGCGAAGGCGAAGCGGATGTGGTCGTAGCCGTGGCTGTAGGCGTTCGTGGGTACGCGTGTGCTTGTGTCTGGGAGTGTTCCAGACTGTGTTGTGTTCGTTCAAAACCTCTCTCTCTCTCTCTCTCTCTCTCTCTCTCTCTCTCTCTCTCTCTCTCTCTCGCTCGCTCGCTCGCTCGCTCTCTCTCTCTCTCTCTCTCTCTCTCTCTCTCTCTCTCTCTCTCTCTCTCTCTGTATGTGTGTGTGGGTATGGAATTGGGTCTCGTTCGGCAGCGATTCTTCGTCTCACGCAGGTACACGCGCAGCGTCTGGACGCCTCTTGCGCGGGTGCGTGAGTTCGTGTGTGTGGCAATGGTAGCAAAGGGGTAGGCGAAGCTCGAGGAGGAGTTGTTCTCGCCCTCGTCGTCCTCGTCCTCGTCCTCGTCCTCCTCGTGACTTCGCCTCTCCCTGCAAAACTTGCATGTCCGCAGCCCCCACGACCACCACGCCCCCCCTTCCCCGGGACGCGACAATCGCGCGCCACCTCAGGAGGGGTGGCCTGCGGGTTTTGCCGCCCCCTCAATGTCTGTCTCCCTCTCTGTGTCTCACAGGTTTGCAAGCCTCTCTCGCTGGTGTGTCCACACCTTACCCGCCTCCTCTTCTCTGGCTCAAACTCAACTGTCGGCGTTTTCCCGGCTGTCCTCTCTCTCTCTCGCTCTCTCTGCGTTTGCGATCACCCGCCCCTCAACTCCGCTCCCCCCTGCACCCTTCCCAACATGCATCCTACCGACGCCCGACTGCATTGAGGTATGATATCTTCAAAAAACTGACTGGCCCTACCTGTTGTAAGTAATTCAGTTCAGGATTTCCGTACTTCACTCATTTGTCTGCTTCCGCACTGGAGTTCGAACTCCGGTCCGTGCATTTCAACCAACTGGCCTCGGCCGGCCAGTTGCTTGCTGCTGTTTCTTTGGGCCTCGCTGCACTACTCACGACATGCACAAAAGACAAAAATCATGGTGGTGCATCTTTCCATATTCTAGCGGAAGATTCATTCTCGTTTTCCACATTTCAAGAGTAGTGCAGCGAGGCCCTTTCTGTCGAATCGAACCGATTTAGAACCATGGGCCTCGCTCCACTACTCTCGACATGCGCAGAACGAGAGTGAATCTTCCGCTAGAACGTGGAAGGATACACCTCCATGGTTTGTCTTTTGTGCATGTCGAGAGTAGTGGAGCGACGCCCCATCGAATGTACGACAAGAGAAAAAAAAAGGCAAACAAAACAAAACAGTTCCCGACCAGCCGCGGCTACGTTGCAGGGCCTAATTGCATAACTCGCCATCCCCAAGCACTTTGAACGCATCTGCTCACAATTGAGACCAGATGCATTCAATTCGTTGCTGGATAGCACTAAGGGCCTGCCCGCCACTGTGTAGCAATTCGCTGTTTCCGTTGCGCTTCATCACCGCCACAGGTGGCCTCAGCCGGGGCTAGGTCCCACTTGCACGAATTAAGAGATGGAGACCGTCGATAGCCGAGAGAGATCAACGGCCGATATCTCCTAATCCGTGCAAGTGGGACCTTGCCCCCGCTCAGCGCACAACGCACCACCAAATGCATGAAAGACAAAATTTATGGCGGAAAAAAAAAAAAGAAAAAAAAAACATTATGGCGGGGTGTTCGTTCTCATTTTGCCCATTTGGTGAGTGGCGCGGCGAGGACCAAGTCCACACGATTTTTAAGGCCTCACGATTTTCCCTCGTGGCGATGGAATCGTGAGGTCCTTTAGTGAAAGTGAAATTTCCTTGGGGGCTAAGTCCTACTACCTTTCCAAAAAAAAAAAAAAAAAAAAAAAAAAAAAAAAACGGTCCTACTACCGGTAGATAGCAGGGGCCTAAGTCCCACTAGCGGGGGGGCTTAGTCTTCCTCCGAGTATCTTTTGAAGTGGCCATAGTGCTGCTGCCATGAGATGTTCAAATCGGATGGCAGCAGTGGGTGCGTAGTCGAGAAACCAAGTTCCCGCTCCCACCCTCCCCCAAAAGCACTCTGATAATGACTGTATACAAGCTACATTTCTGGTCCGATAATGTCTGTATACAAGCTATATTTATGGTCCGATAAGGACTGTATACAAGCTACATATCTGGTCAGACAATGACTGTATACAAGCTATATTTATGGTCAGATAATGACCGTGTTTTCTGGCCCCGTACAGCTGAAATGGGGTGCTTTGCGCTCGGGGGAAGACGGTGCTGGGACCTAGCTCGGGGCTTGCCACCCGTTTAAATCGGAAAGATACACAGATTTTTTTTTAATTTTTAATTTAAATAATAATTTTATTTATTTTTTGATACACAGAAGATTAGCATGTATGTATGTATGTATATATGTATGTATGCATGTATGTATGTATGTATGTATGTATGTATGGGCCTCCGTCCACTACTCACCACATGCACAAAGGCCAAAACATATGGCTGTGTATCTTTCCATGTTGTAGCTGAGGATCCTTTCTCATTTTGCTTATTTGGATGGCTGTGTATCTTTCCATGTTGTAGCTGAAGGTCCTTTCTCATTTTGGGGATTTGGTGAGTAGAGGAGCGAGGCCATATGTGAGGGGGAGATGCCAAAAAAGGAAAGAACTGGCTTCTTTTTAAAGGACCCAGTGCCCAAGGCAGTACATAGTTCCAGCCATTATAATAGCACATCTGTCCAGAAGTCCGCTGGCCCCGGACCCTAAACCTCAGGCCTCACCTCACCTCTGCACCCTTAAACAGCAGGTCTTGCATAGACATCACTTACCAACCGCGGCCTGGCCTAGCTCGTCTCAGGGCATCACCACACCACTCTCTAAATGTGCAAAATGAGAAGGAACCTGCGGCACACATAGTGCCAACCAGCGGTGATAGTCCGCTTGATACCTCTGATCTGATCGGTAATAGCAGGGTCCTTGGCCAACACGGGTGTGAGTGTGAGTGTGAGTGTGAGTGGGTTGTGTGTGGTGTGTGGGAGAGTGTTGGCCTTAGACACCGCTGTTATTCGGTTGGGGGTGGGGAATGATGAAAAGCGAGGTGCAGCTACTGGCAAAATGCTCGGTCTTTGCTTTAGCCGGACCCCCACCGGCGGCCCCACCCCATCCTTGACCACCATGGTTAGGGCTGGGGGCAACATGGAGGGAGACAACAAAGCTCTGTTTGCAGGGGTCCCCTGCCTAAGCCTTAGGAGTACTGGTAGGTAGGCAGTGAAGGTGAATTGAAAGAATTTGAAAGATGATGAAAGATTTGAGAGAAGAACATAGCGTTGTTTGCAGGGGTCCCCTGCCTAGGCCTCAGGCCCGCTACCTAAGAGCTTGAGCGATGGATGTTTGATCCCAACTACGATGATTTGCAATAACTGTACTTTTATCAGGAAATCAACTCCAAAAGCCTAAATCGGGCCTGAGGGGAGCGGATGATTGTAGGTCATGTTTCCTTGGTTCAACCAGTCCGCAAGCTGCAGTTTGCCTGCCTGTGAGACACATGTGACGTTCTGAACTCACGCCCTGTACTGTCTTCCGGTCGGAGTGATAAAATATGTGGAATAGGCCCTGAAAAAACAGCAAAATGGGGTGTGCCAAGGACTGTTGGAAAATTGAGTGTGGGGACACAGACGGAACTGAAATCCCCTGTGTAATCCTGGTTTAGTGAGACATGGCCATAGCCGCGCAGGAAAGAAATAGTGCGCGCTGCTTTCAAATGTTCATTCAATCCCAAAAGTATCTTTGAACTGCCATCCGAGCTGCTCAATGTCTTTTCGAACGGAAAGGTGAGGGTACGCACGTGGGATCTCGTTTTCGAATTAAGTCCCGACGCCTTTCGTTACAAAGTTCGGAATCCGACTTGGGTGGTCTCAGTCTGGTCGCTCTTTCCTTGTGTTCGTCCTCGCCACGTGTCCAGTAGTGGAACCCCTTCTCCTGATAACGCTCCGTGCGGCAACAATCGCAACACAAAGTGTTGGGCCAATGAGGTGCCACCGGCGTCCATGGAATGACAATCAAGTTGTTAAAAGGCAATAACGATGATTACTGGGGAAGTGAGTATCAATAATGACAAAACCAGCGCCTACGAATCCTAAGCACCTTGTTTCGAGAGGGAAATAATAGCATCCATCGATCTTGGCGATGATTTCTCGTACATCCCACTCACATACACGTGTCATTTCCTCGTTGTACAGGAATAGGCGAGGCGGAAGTGGACACCCGCTCGGATCAGGGCAATCGGTCCACATGGCATAAGTGAGGCTGATCGCATATATCTAATCAATCAGTTATTCAATCACAAGAGCAAATAGACATCACGATATGCATTGTCTTCCACCCATCGTGCAAACCAATCCAAAGCGTAGGTCCATGCGATCCAATCAGTAGAGAGAACGACTATTCTTCATTGATTTCAATAGTTAAACATGCATTGAAGTGGTCGCATTAGATTTATGCTTTGTTCCTGTCATCGGGATAACAACTCAATCGTTACTTGTGTGTGAGAGATCACTTATGTACTAACCATCGAGTATCGAGGAGCAAAGAGAGGGACGGGATAAGATCGCATGTTTCCGCTGGTCTCTTTGGATCCAACGATACTTATCCTCGTGAGATCCGATTGAATCCAATGAGACGAGCAACACAAGACCTCGGAAGATGATAGAGACGAGGGATTTATCAAAACATTCATGAGAAAAATATCAAAAGAGCGAGAAAGAAAGAAGGAATATTATGAGGTCGAAGGAGCTAGACGGAGTCGTAGCTCAACCGAAGAAGGGGACTACGACAAGGGAGGAGTTGTGAGCACACAGGTAGATCTGAGAATCAAAACCGGCAATCCCCAGTGAACTTAGCTTCAAATATAACAAGAGGAGGAACCGAAGATCGAAGGCGTGCAAACCTTCTGCTCTTTGACTATGGCATTGGGACATACAACCACTCGTACACATACACCTTCCTTACCCTGGTACTGGCGATCTCGACCGCCACATACCAACCTCACCCCACAACAATCGTCACCTACCAAATAAGCTTCTACACTGGCTTGCCCAGATCCCCCAGTCCGTCGCGGT